TACCCAGGCTTCATCCCAGCCAGGATCCCAACCCAAACTTGGCCCACCTCAGCAGGGAGCCCAGCCCCCCCATCAGGTCCAGATGCCTATATATAACTTTCCCCAGTCACCACCAGCTCAGTATTCTCCCATGCACAATATGGGATTGTTGCCAATGCATCCCCTCCAGATCCCTGCCCCATCCTGGCCTATCCATGGCCCAGTGCTCCACTCTGCACCAGGCAGTGCCCCCAGCAATATTGGCCTGAACGATCCCAGCATCATCTTCGCACAGCCTGCTGCCAGACCTGTGGCAATCCCGAACTCCTCTCATGATGGACACTGGCCTCGTACTGTGGCTCCAAATTCCCTGGTGAACAATGGTGCAGTGGGGAATTCGGGTAACCCTTTTTTTCTTCTTTTGTGTCTGTCTGTCTGTCTGTCTGTCTGTAGAAAAGTTTGGGTGATTAGTATTACTGGTTGAACTTGGGGAAATAAATGTGAAGAAAAGGATGACAAGCAATATTTTTGGAGGGACCATTTATTATGTGGCATTGGGCAGTTAATTTCTTTGTGCATTGGTTTCATCTGTAAAATAGGGATTGAATAGTATCTAACTCACAGAAATGTTATGAATACTAAATGTAATATACATAAATGTTAGCTTTTTCGTATTTGAAATTTTGACTGCAACACTGCTTTGTGTATGTATTATTAGCACTTATTTTACAGTTGAAGAAATTGAAGGGTTAAGTAACTTAACTATCATGCTATCATAATAAATCATAGTAGATCCAAGATTTAATCCAATTTTTTTCTTCAAAACCTGTGTTCTTTGCCCTAGATTCTTACTATCTCCCAATAAGAAGCAAATCTTTGGAAAGAAAGAGATATTGGTAGCATTTTGTAGCATTAAAATATTTTTTTCTGATATTTAAGTAATAGATATTCATTATAGGACATTTGAAAAAGAAAATCATTCATAATCTTAATTCCTATACATAATTGCTAAGTAATATTTTGGTTTATTGCCACCCATTCATTTTCTAATACTTGCATATTTATAAATAGTTCATATATGCCATAAATCTAGTTTTGTATCCAGCTTTTTAGTAATAATTTTTATTTTAAAAATTATTATGGAAAATTTGAAATGTACACAAAAGGAGAGAGTAAAATGTAATGAATTCTCCCTACCCCTGTAGCAGCTTTAATAGTTACCAGCATTTGCTGTTCTTTTATCTGACTCCTTCTTGCATTAAAAAAATTGGGGCTTGATTATTTAATCAAATATGAGACATTGTATCAAATTTTCTTGTAAACTTTATCTCTTAAAAACAATCAAGACCATACCCAGGATTATCTAATACTCAGCCCTTGTTCCTTTTCCCCTATTTCTCTAAAATTATTTTTTACTTATTTGAATCGATATTCAAGCAAAGCCCATTGATTGTATGCAGCTAGTATGGGTTTTAGTTTTCTTGCTCCCTACTCCTCCATAGACTATATCTCCTAATTTGAGTTTCTGATAGGATATTTAATGAATAAGGGTAGCGTCTTTCAATTATTTCTTGCCTCATTGTGACCCTAAATGAGAAAAACCACCAATAATAATCCAGAAGATACAGGGGATACTACACTTAAAGATCATCTCAAAGGGAAGTAGATTGGTGGGTGTAATTTGCCAGAGAAAGTATAGGAGTCATATTTTTTTGAGTTCCTACTTATATACCAGAATTTGTACAAGCCACTTTTATTTTTGTTATCTGATTTAATCCTCACAACAACCTGAGGTTCATAATTGAGCCTTAGTAATTTTTGTAACTATGATTTGAACTTATTAGACCTGTTGGCTCTAAAACCCTAGTTCTCAAGTATTATACAACAGTGCCTCAGCTTCTAATAAATAGAATCGCTTTTCAGGCCAAGATATAATTAGGATAGTTGGTATTGTCTTTGGATAAATTGTAAACTCCTCAATGATGTACTAAGGTTTTATTGAAATACAAATCCTACCTACCTATTCAGCCTTTGCTGTTACCACTTCCTCCCTTTACCCCTATTTCTATTTTGTCAGTTATTTTGAAGCTTCCCAAATTTACTGTGCTTTTCTGCATTCTGACTTTTAAACATGCTATTCCTTTTGTCTAAAATGCCATCCTTGCTCCATTTTACATAACTTGTTCCTTGTAGTTTAAAACTTAATTTTAGTCAGTTATCTTAGGGAAAACTTTATCCTTGAACAACTTGGTTAGCCCTCTCTTTGAACACTTTCTACTGATATTATAGCAATTGCAACATATTATTGCATATATATTCTATATGTCTCCTGTATGAGTAAATTGAGCACAATGACAGTGTTTGATTTAAAAAAAAAAAATGTTTTGGTATCCTTTGCATTTAGCATAGTTCTTGCCAGTCATAGGTATTCTTTGTGGAATGAAGAACCATATGAGTGAACAAACTGATGTTTTAAAATGTCTTTTCTTTCTTATTGAAATGCAGAACCAGGCTTTCCAGGACTAAATCCTCCAATTCCTTGGGAACATGCACCACGCCCCCATTTTCCTCTTGTCCCAGCTTCGTGGCCTTATGGTTTGCATCAAAACTTCATGCATCAGGGAAATGCCAGATTTCAGCCCAACAAACCTTTCTATACTCAAGGTACTGTTGCTTACCAATTTATTAATGTGCTGGGTGGGTTCTGGGACAAGGAGCCTTTGTGAAGGTCAGGATCTGGGATGAGAATTCATGCATTCAGTAAACATTTGAGAAAACATACTGTTTGTCAGACTATGATAGGTGCTTATTGCTCAAGCAAGAATTAAATAAGACCCCCATACTTAATGCATACCGGTATTTTATTAGGAGAGCCAGACATGTAAAATAGAAAAGGATAGGAGCGTAGAGGAATCATATAACGTTGCTTTAGCAGTGAGAGCAGAATATGGGCACCAGGGATCAAATCACACAAGATTTTTACATTTGAACTGGATCTTGAAAGAGGTACAGGATTTTTTTTTTTCCTAGATATTTTCTAGAGATTAGAGAGGAGTGTTTTTAGCTGAGGGAATAATATATGCAAAATTTCTGAGTCCTGCCTGGCATGAGGAAAAAAGAGAAAATAATAGGACTAGAGGATGAGGTAAATGGGAAAGACTGTATAGGTGAAGAGACTAGAGAAGGTAGACTGGGGCCATATCATGAGAGTTTGGACTCAGTTTATTCGGAAGTCAGGATCTAATAGAAGTTTCTGGTTTTTATTTTTATTTTTTTTAAATATATTTTATTGATTTTTTAAAGAGAGGAAGGGAGAGGGATAGAGAGTTAGAAACATCGATCAGCTGCCTCCTGCACACCCCCTACGGGGGATGTGCCCGCAACCAAGGTACATGCCCTTGACTGGAATCGAACCTGGGACCCCTCAGTCCATAGGCCGACGCTCTATCCACTGAGCCAAACCAGTCAGGGCAAAGTTTCTGTTTTTTAAAATATATTTTTATTGATTTCAGAGAGGAAGGGGAGAGCAAGAGAGAGATAGAAACATCAATGATGAGAGAGAATCCCTGATGGGCTGCCCCCTGCATGCTCCCACCGGGGATTGAGCCTGCAACCCGGGCATGTACCCTGACTGGGAATTGAACTATGACCTTTCTGATTCATAGGTCAGTGCTCAACCACTGAGCCACACTGGCGGGGCTCTAATAGAAGTTTTTGAGTTGAGCAGTGACATGGTCAGATTTGATTAGTAAAACTAAGATTTGAATGACATTAGAATTCATTATATTCTCTTGGTACTAATGTACCAGTAATGGCTTTAATCTAAGTAATGAATATTACAAACTAAGGAGAAAGCCAAGGAACTTGGATGATTTTATCTAGCCTACTTGCCTCAGAGGTATCTCAATCCTAGTAGGGAATGTTCAGCTCTTCGTTAAGCTAGTTCAAAAAACTAGAATCAGAGTTATTACAGTTAAACTTAGGAGTTCAAGAAATTAAAGAAATATACTCAGGAAATATTGACTGAATGAAATGATAATTTTAAGGGGAAGCCACTGGTATGACTGTCAGGCTTCCTAAACTATCCATGTTTTGCTGGGGCATCCCAGTATTATAGATTGGCAGAACCTTGACGATGACTGCTTTTTTTCTTCTGAGCAAAGAACTAGGGCTGAGGGAAGTTTCATTGGTCATACAAGCCTTTTTAGGAATACAGTCTGAAGTTCTTCCCTGGTGGGTTTGTTCCCCTTGATTCCTCCGCTCCATCTCTCTTTTGTCTTCTTTCTTTGCTTTCACATACCTACATTTTCTTTTCCTCCTCCTTCCCCCCATCCCCCCGACCCCCGCCCAATGTTTTGACATGCTTAGTCACTTCTTCACTGTATAAATAGAAAAAAAGAATAGCTGCAAGTTAATTCTAGGGGGTTATCAGATAAATAGGCACAAGCCTTTCAGTTTCCTGTCTGTGTTGTGTCCAACAGACAGATGTGCCACCCGTCGGTGTAGAGAGCGTTGTCCCCACCCACCAAGAGGAAACGTGTCGGAGTAATGCGAGTCCATTTTCTTTCAGCTGGTCTACCGATGCACAGCAACCAGCCAATCCTGCTGTCTCAAGGGTATCCGTACCTCAATGTCAGTTACATTCAGCAGAAAAAGTGACATTTAATGGAAAGCAAAACAAATCAGGTCCTGATTTAAAATTTTAACACGTTTAGATAGCTTATTTAAATTCTAAGACTGTTTTTAAGAACTGTATTATTTGTATATAAATATGAACTATAGTTTTTACTAGTATCACCAAATTGAGTGATACAAATTTCATCTATTTTATTACCCTATTTTTAAGGGAATTTTATGTTTTGTTTAACCTTGATGAATTGTATAAAGAGAGAATTTAAAAAATTACATTCTTTATTTTCTATTAGCTGTATTCATACTTTGGTTGCTTCAGACTTTATATATATTGTTCTTAAGAATTAGAAAGACTTTCATGTGTTTTAAATTTGTCACTTCTATTCTTTACAGAACCTTGTAGTGCCAAAAACTTTTTAAAAGGTAAAAAAAAAAATAATAAAATAAAACTACAACATGAAGATTCAGATTTTTTTCTTTTACATTCTTGTACAGTATATTGAAAATATTCAGACTTGAACAGAAAGTTGCTTTTATCTGTATTTGAAGCAATTCTATTTTAAGTTAATAAATCTTTTTGACAAGAGTCAAATTTGGTTAATTCATCTGGTTGTTTAGATGATGGAGGTATAATGTAACAATTCAGAGACTTGTTTTATTCTCAGAGAATTTAGTATTGTAACTCACAGACATAGTTTTAGAAATCCAAGGATTTTTTCATGGTCCTTATTTTATTGGATCCTCACATCTATATGCTGTAGATAGAAGCAAATGCTGTCTCCATTTTATCACTGAGAAAATTTAGGTGCAAAACAATAAAGTGAGTTTCAAAGGTAACACATTTAAACATATCGGAAATAAAATTGAAACATCTTTTGAAGGAGAATTTTTAAACACTGAGACTGATACTGGCAATGAGAGTGAAAGGAAGGTAATTCTTTACTGAGGAACACAAGTCAGACTATCCATTCTGAGTCCTGTACTACTGCCTGGAAAGCACACTTGCCAGGTTGGTGTTTACCAATAATACTTGTGGTCCGTAATTATAGTAGGAATTCAAACTTGTGTCACTGTTGGTAGATTCTTTTAGCTGTTTTTGATACTAATACATTGAGGTAAAGTCATTTTGTTTAAATCCCTCAAAGAAATTTGCCAGATTTGCTAAATGATGCTATAGATTTCTTTGGAATGTACAGAATAAGTAAAAAGAATTGTATTTTATGGACAGTGAGTATGTTATCTTTGTTCTGCTTCCTCAGATATGCATTACTTAAAATAGGAGAGACTACCTGGGCTTTTGCCATATTTTCCAACATGGAAGATGCTTGAAATCTATTGCAGGAGGTTGAGGGCTTTCCTGCCATATTTACAGTCCTGAAAAGGTATTTATTAAATGTTAAGATCAGGTGTATTTACTGTTACTTTTTCATATTAAAGCTTCGGCATCCCTCAGAATCCTACTAAGTGGTGGAGTTAACTCATTTGGTAATGAGATACCTGGCCCAGTGTAATGCTTTTGTGTTAAAAATGTTACTTGGAACATTCAAGATTTTCTTTAAAGTTTTAGTGTTCAAGTATTTCACCTCCTTTTCAGGTTTTAGAGAACAGGTTATGAGGTGTACAGGGTGTTCAACTTGTTCTTTTGTATATATTTGAAATTTTCATCAAAAAGAAAATAATATTCAATAAGAGACTGCTCCCAGCTCAGCCTTCCCTCCTAAAGGAAATGACTGTATGACCTGGCAAAAAGTATTTAAGGGCAATAAACCCCAGGAACCTAGGTTTTCTTTATATGAAAGTTATATACTGTAGAGTAATTTTCAGCATCTCACTTGTCCCTCCTTCAGCAATTGCCAGTGTTCAATAACTGGCAAACTGTTCCTAGTTGAAAAATAGAAGACACTTTTTGTAATTTATAGTTTGTAAGTTTGCAAACATTTAATGGAAGTTGTAACCTTAAAAAGTTTTTATTCAGATTTATTGTAGAGCAATTGAAAAGGGCAAATTATTCAACCTTATGTAGAGAACACACATACACACACTTAAATTTATGTAGTTTTGAAATTTTTTTGCATAATTAATGACATGGAGACATTAATATTTTCCCTTGCCATTAAATATAATTCAAAGATATGTCGATGAACTATGTGATTTATTTGTTCAGTCCCTAAGACAGACATTTTTGCTATTTTTTTCTCATTTATATTAAAAAAAGTAAAAATGATGGGATAATTGAAAATTTACTTTTCAGTTATAGTTGACATACAGTATTAGTTTCAGGTGTAAAATGTAGTTATTAGACATTTATATACCTTATGAAGTGATCACCATAAGTCTAGCACCATACATAGTTACTACATTATTGCCTGTATTCCCTATCCTGTATTTTATATCCCATGACTATTTTTATAATTGGCCATTTGTATTTCTTAATTCATCCCCCTCCAGTGCCATCTGACAACCCTTAATTTGTTCTCTGTATCTATGAGTTTGTTTTTGTTGAGTTTATGGTTTTTGTTGTTTTTTTTTTAAATATATTTTATTGATTTTTTTACAGAGAGGAAGGGAGGAGAGATAGAGAGTTAGAAACATCGATGAGAGAGAAACATCGATCAGCTGCCTTCTGCACACCCTCCAGTGGGGATGTGCCCGCAACCCAGGTACATGCCCTTGACCGGAATCGAACCTGGGACCCTTCAGTCTGCAGGCCGACGCTCTATCCACTGAGCCAAACCGGCTTCGGCGAGTTTATGGTTTTTTGTTTTTTTAGATTCCACATATAAGTGAAATTATACGGTATTCGTCTTTCTCTTCTGACTTATTTCACTTTGTAGTAATATCCTCTAGGTCCATCTGTGTTGTCCCAAATGGCAAGATTTCATTCTTTTTTATGACTGAGCAAAATATTCCATTGTATATACGTACTACATCTTCTTTACCCATTCATCTATCAATAGACACCTAGGTTGCTTCCATTTCTGGCTATTATAAATAATACTTCAATGAATATAGGGGTGCATATATCTTTTTTAGTGTTTTGGATTTCTTCAGATAAATACCCAGAAGTGAAAGAATTGCTGGGTCATGTGGTAGCTCTATTTTTTTTTTTAATTTATTGATTTTTTTACAGAGAGGAAGGAAGAGAGAGAGCTAGAAACATCGATGAGAGAGAAACATCGATCAGCTGCCTCCTGCACATCTCCCACTGGGGATGTGCCCGCAACCAAGGCACATGCCCCTGACCGGAATCAAACCTGGGACCTTTCAGTCCGCAGGCCGACGCTCCATCCACTGAGCCAAACCGGTTTCGGCTATTTTTAATTTTTTGAGGAACTTTCATACTGTATTCATAATGGGTACACCAATTTACAATCTCACCAACACAGTACACAAGGGTTCCCTTTTCTCCACATCCTTGTTTGTTGATTTATTTTTACTATTTTTAAAAAATGTTTTTTATTAATTTCAGAGAGAGGAAGGGTAGAGGGATAGAAACATCAATGATAAGAGAGATTCACTGATCAGCTGCCTCCTGCACAGCCCCTACTGGGGATTGAGCCTGCAGCTCCAGCATGTGCCATTGACCAAGGATCAAACCGTGACCTGGTTTGTGGGTTGACGCTTAACCACTGAGGCACACCTGCCTGGCTGATTTATTGATAAGTCATTCTTACTGGTGTGAGGTCATCTCTCTCTGTGGTTTTGATTTGCATTTCCCTAATGATCAGTGATGTTGAGCATCTTTCCATGTGTCTGTCAACCACCTCTATGTCCTCTTTGGAGAAATATCTATATTCATGCCCCTGTCCATTTTTAATCTAATTGTTTCTTTGATGCCAAGCTGTATGAATTCTTTATATATTTTGGATATTAACCCCTTATTGGATAGATTATTTGCAAATAATTTCTCCAGTTCAGTAGGTTGCCTTTGTTTCTTCTGTGGTATAAAAGCTTTTGTTTGTTATAGTTCCATCTGTTCATTTTTGCTTTTATTATCTTTGCCCTAGGAGACTTACTGCTAAGACCAATGTCCAAAATTTATTGCCTGTGTTTTCTTATAGTTTTATGATGTTAGGCCTGACATTTCAATTTTGTCTTTTAATCCATTTTTTAATTTTTGTATATGATGTAAGTGGTCTATTTTCATTTCTGGGATAAGATGTTTTTGTGTATGTTTCTATATTATGGTGAATTTCTATAAATGGAATTAGGATAGAAATTCTAAGGTTCCTCTGACATACTGCCAAATTACCACCCAGAAGTGTGATTACCAATTTGCATTTCTGGAAAACTATATGAAATATGTTGGTAAGCTTATAAAAAAAGCTTTCTCCAAAGATCTCACATTTTCCTTGTAAAGAATTTAAATGTCTATATAAAAAAAAAGTATTAAAGGATTCAAAAGCCCATCAACCAGAAATAAATACTGTTATCTGGTGAACTTCATTCATTCTAACCATCTCTTATAGACATATGTGTACATATAATTTTACAAAAATGGGCTCATATGCTGTATTTAGTTTAAGTATAGCAAATTAATTTTACTTGGATTTAACAAGATGAAAAAATGTGAAAGTGAAGAAATGCCCAACTTAAAAAAAAATTTCTATAGCCGAAACCGGTTTGGCTCAGTGGATAGAGCGTCGGCCTGCAGACTGAAGGGTCCCAGGTTCGATTCCGGTCAGGGGCATGTACCTGGGTTGCGGGCACATCCCCAGTGGGGAGATATGCAGGAGGCAGCTGATTGATGTTTCTCTCTCATCGATGTTTCTAACTCTCTCTCTCTCTCCCTTCCTCTCTGTAAAAAAACAATAAAATATATTTAAAAAAAATTTTTTTCTACAAGAGAATCTAATTCTGAGTTTCCCTTGAAAATTGAGGACAATTATAGAAAATATTTAAGAGGCTGGAATCATTTATTTCTAGTGTATGTATATTTTAAAGACAGTATGACTCCTGCTTTGAAAAAATGAAACTAGCACACTTAAGAGTCCCTCTATTTCCTGGTTATATTACTTCTATATAGGCAATGTTCAAATATTTGAGTCTTATAACTTCCTTTTAATTTAATTTGCCCCCTACTGGGGATCAAGCCTATAAACTTATAGGGCATGTGCCCTTGACTGGAATCAAACCTGGGACCCTTCAGTCTACAGGCCCGACGCTCTATCCACTGAGCCAAACTGACTAGATCTGTTTTATTATCTCTTTAGCTTTTA